AAATGGGTTATAACGCCCTCTGGTGGGCGCTGGACAACAAAAGGGAGATCTAGGGTAAGAGGAAAATCTGAAGTCTGTTAATTATTATTTTAGAATAAAATATACCCTTAACAGTAAAGTTAATTAATGCTCGCCCTGAAGAAGGACCCCCGGAGGGTCTGAAACTAGTCAGTGCCGTCAACGGAGGATAAAAGCGTGAGTTGAGCCGTTTTTAATTTTCGCCTAAAGATAAATCTCATTTAGAAAGTAGATTAGATTCTACAAGGGAAACTGTTATTGAAGTTTTTAAGTTAAAAAATTAGGGTCAAAATAACAGATTTTTAAAGTGTCCGTTAGACTAAGTTTGAAAAATTCTGTATTAGTTTATTTTTATCATAATGTTAAAAGGACTACCTTATCTTGAAGTTCATACATATTAATGTCACTCATATTCTTCCATGGAACATATTTCTTTTGAATAGTCCCTTTAGATTCATCCTCTTGTACGGCTTCTTTCATTTCGGTCATCAAACTCTCATAAATATTATCATGCCTTTTTTGATATCTAGTCCATTCTGTTTTAAACACACTCTTTGACACCTTCGCAAAGGAATTATCATCAATCTCTTGTAGAATATTTTTTATAAAGTTTTTATCTACTTTTTCATTGATATACATCTCACAATATCTGGGTAGAAAATAAAATATAAAACTTGGTATAAAGTCTATGACTAGGTCGAAATCGTTAGCGAAATAATCTTTCTGTAGTTTTATAAAGCCCTTGTCTATTGAACTGTCTTCGAAAGTTTTTCTTATAACTTGTACGGTAAAATTATATTTGTCAGATTTAATTATATTTAAATCGTATAATTTTGTAGCGAGATACTGCGCATGTAGTCTCAAACTAAATATTTGTCCCATCGTATGATAAAGGAGGGTGTCCATAACAAATTCGTATTCATCGCTTTTTAAAGACGCATGCTTTATTCTGAATTTAATTATCCAATAAAGGATAATAAATTGTGACGTCAAAGGTATATTCTTTGACTTAAAATGCTCTACCATATTCTTGCCAATTTGGACTTCCTGAAAAAATATACAAAACATTACTTTATATACGAAAATATAAAAACAATTGTATTGTAGAAATTATTTTAAATAGGTATTTAAAAATAAAATAAAACGAAATTGTAAGGAGGGATGGGAGGTGCCCCTTCCAAACCCCCTCAACGCCCATTAGCTAATTCTTATGGGTTTTAATGCCTTAGTGAAATGTACTTAATCTATGCGTAATATAATAAAGAGGAAATATTTGGACTTTTGTATGTATTGAAATAACTTAAAACTACTTCATTTTTTTTTCAAAAGTAATTTCACCTATTAAAGGTTATGTTATTGCTGAGTAACGTAGGCTACAGTTATATATTACTTACCTTGAAACAGTAGTAAAGAGCTATATACCACTCTAGGCATATTCTAACACTCGGTTGATGTGGTATTGATCCTAACATATCCATGCACCAGTTTGCAGCATTATCCATACTAACATCTCTCGATTTCAACAATATTAGAAGCAAAGTCTGCATACCCGTTAATAATATTCTATGTGATTTTGAATTACCATGATAGCGTTTTTTACTTGTAAATACAGTATTTATTTTATTTATTATGTATGTTATTATTGTGTTTAAAACATCTTTATCATCGACTTTACTTAATGCAGAATATGATAAATATTGTATGTGAAAATTGAAGTGGACATCGAAACTGAAAACATAATTTTGATTAAGGAGCAAAACAAGTAAATAACAATTGAGAATGTCAAGAACTGAATATTATTTGATTGGCTTATAAGACAATTATGATACTAGAGAATAATAAAAAAAAACTTAAGTAGCTTATTTGTTCTAGAATATATTCATCAAGTTTTTTTAAGCTATTAGGGAGATACAATCTAACATCCATCCATCAAAACTTTCGCATTCATTTAGAAAGATAGTAATACTTGATTTTTTTTTATAACATAAGGTGGCAAACGAGCAAGCAGTCACTAGAGTCCGCCAAAATGGCGAGGCGACCGCTGCCCATAGACATCCGCAATTGCAGATGCGTTGCCTACCCTTATATGATGGAGGAGGAGACGCACATAAAGAGGATATTTCCCCTTCCTATGCATCTCCTCCACCGTCAAATCCACTTCCCCTTCCCAACCTCTCCTTATAAGAAAAGGATGTAAAGAGAAAGGGTCTTAAATTAGGCCTCCGGCTCCACCTATCAGACTAATAAGACTCATCAGACTAAAAAAGGAAATTGCTTTCATTTCACGCCTGTTTTCTGTGTGGTCGTGGTATTACACCGGGCGTGCCGGCCTATTCGTGCTTAGATGTTAAAGCGGGCACTACCACTAATGAAGACAGAAGGCAGAGCCCAGGATAGCAAGCTGATGGCGCCCTCTGCCTTACTTTGGGAAACAAGAATAAAGAAGAAAGATGTGATTCTTACCTTTTATTATCAATGCCATATTTGTTTTGATTTAAAATTTCAATCGATAGGTTATCGGTGATCCTGGAAAAAAAAAATTGAATATACATAAGTCGTAAAAAATCGATTTAAATAAATAATCAATTAATTACATACCATAATTGAGAAATCTCACCTCTGATCTTTTCTAGGTATAGGACAATAGAGTAAAATATCACACAGAGCATATATCATTGGCCCAAACTTAGACAGATCTTTCCCATTAATTTGTCTCATTAGAAAGAATAATGGAGTATTTTTTATTGGACCATATTCAATTATTTTACACCAATACGCTAGCAACAGATTATTATATTCAGGCTTACTTAATAACGCATTTTCTGTGATTATGTTTACAAATTCTTCAATACATTTGATATATTGATTATTCGTTTTTAATTCTTCTATCTCTTTCCACATTCTTTCTAAAAATACTGACAAATCAAATACATCCAATATTGGTATAACTTCTTTCATAATTTTAAGTATCCAAATTAAACAACCATAGCCACCGCATTCTACTGCATTGTCAATAAAGCTTGTAAACTCTTTTGATACAGTATTCACATTGGTTTTATTAATTTTAATAATATTATATAAGATTTCACAATACTTTTCATATAGAATGTTTTTAAGTCTCCCACTTCTTTCTTTTCCATTAATATTTTCCAATCCTGTTTTAGTTAGTTGTAAGAATTTGTCCAAAGACAAAATTTCATGTCCATAATACTCTATCATCAATGGACTTGTTAATAAAGCACTCAGAATATTCACAGATAATATTCTTACTTCTAAAGCTATGTGAGTATCTGTAAGCATTAGAATACATGACTTATACACTTGTAATACAGTCTCTATTGAATTGTAATCACTTAAATTAGTAATCATTGGTTTTAAGCCACGGAATAATGTGTTAATCTCTTGTACAGTTAGATATTTATCATTTCTCAACAGAGAAATCAAGTATTCGAGGATAGTTTTATATGCTGTCGCTGTGATTAGATTTATGTTCTCTATTGCTGAATTATTCTTTCTTGTTGTCTTACTAAAAATATATGTTAAAGATACAACATCATCAAAGCAATTCATTTTATCAGCAAATTGTCTTTGGTTGATGTCTTGGATGTTCAAAATCATTTTATTAATCAATGTTAGTAAACCGGTAACTTCTACAGGATGTGTTTGAATGTAAAACAAACCAAAATCTATAGTCTTTTCTGCTGTGGTTATTAAAATGAATAAAGATTGTATATCATTTGCTTGTAACAATGTATTTTCTCTTAAATACATTATCAATGGGTTATTATTCCTACTCTCTTCTGTATATGATTCAAATTGAAAATGTGAATATAAATTCAAATATTCTCTCCAATGCAAACCTTTACAACAGTTGCCAACTAAATGTGAAATATTAACAAGAACTGCTTTCCGTATTAATATATTATTGCATGATATTTTTAAAATATTCAATATCATTTGGGAGATGCTTGTTTGATCATATTTGCTTACTAAATCTTTTCGCACACATGCTAATACTTCGCTTAGATGAAATAATGGAACTGGTGCCCATTTTATTACCGGCATTGTGGTAAGAATACACATGAAAGTTTTAATATCAGAAAACACATTTGACAGTGTGTTTTTGAGTGTATTATAATCAGTATTCTTATCGAAGAGGTAAGTATCATTAAACGCTTCTAGAAGTGTCTTTGCCTCAGATGCGACATATATTTTACTCTTCAATCTATTTTCTATACATTTTAAACGAACTTGTGTGTTATCATGTTTCAAACCAAGATTAAATATACAATTTAACCAACATTCCGGCATATCTTTTAATGTTTCAAGAAGTCTTAAAGATGGAAGGACAATATTACTTTGTTTTTCTTCTAAGCTATCTAGTATTATAAAATAATTGTCCCACATAAGTTTCTGATCATCTATATTTTTGTAATTCCATTTAAATATAATATTATCCTCTGAGCTTATAAGAGCATCTTTTTTAAGGAACCTCAAATAATCTAGTGCTCTTTTAGCCAGATATATAGACATCTTTCTGTCAGATAAATCAGACATTAATCCATCCAAAATGATCTCCCAAAATTGATGTTTAAATACAATTTCTGATTCTAAAGTTATTTTATCATCTACATTAGGCAAATAATAGTCTGAAAGACAACTCAGTGTTTTAAGACCTATTTCTGTTTTATTATTTATCTTTAAAAGGTATTTCCAAATTCTATCCAATATTCCATAGCCATGGACACCTTTAAAGAATAATGGAACTGTCTTGGTTAAGAAATATCCTTTGAGTTTATCATCATTACTATATAGAACATTCTCCAGTGGTACTTCCAGAAATGGTAGTGTTAGAACATTACTACTGTTTATAACTGCTTCAACAATACTACTGCAAACTTTTAAATTTATCAGTGTTTTTGTAACATGATCATTATTGCTCATCAATGGTTTAACAGGCTCTGTTGGTAACTCCATATTGCATAAAATTTGTTGCACTAAATGTTCCGATTTAGATACTAAAGTATTCGGATTTAGAGATAGTACAACTTGAATTATTTTACAAATATTTTCCACATTATCCTCTTGTAGATTGCTTAATAATTTACTTACGAAAGAAAATTCTTTATCATTATCGCATTCAGAATCTTCTCTTAAATTAATAAGTTGTTTATATTTTAACAGATTTAATGCATTCGTAAGATGGTTATCGATGAAATTTGATCTTTCCATTATAGCTGTCAATCGAGTATCAATAACTTCTTCATCTAAGTCAAGTAGATCCATAAAGGATATTAAATCATCACGGGGAAGCATTTTCTGTGTTATAATTATTAAATACACTTAATAATAACAATTCGGCAAATCAATCCATGTGTTTGTTTCTGTTTACGTTCAATAATTCTTGACAGTTTTTTGACGTTGAACAAAGATGAAATAGCAAAATATATGCATTCAAAAATCAATTATTTTATTTAACTTAATTTTTATCATAGTTTTTAGCCAATAATTTTACTAAAACAAAATGGAGTATATTTCGCTTAAATTTTGTATTTAATTTCAGATGTTACTTCTAACACTTGAAGACAGACACCAAATGTAGAGTCTAGTCACGAAATGTATTTTGTAGAAAATTAGCAAAATCCAGTCTACTTTTGTTAACCTAATTTGAAATATATGATAACACTTGCATTTTGGGTAAATCTGGATGAACCAAAACTTTTGATATTCTTTACGACTTCATACGTCGTTTTTTTGGTTTTTGGCATAGAATAAAAATCATTAAGTCAGAAAAAGAATAGGAAAAAATTCCATCCTTCATCTCATTGAATTATTGTTTTTATTGATGTAAAATAACGTCGTGGGCTGTTTAGTTTAACATTTTAAGTGCTAAGTTTCGCAAGTTGAGTGTTATTAGTTTTTCTGTAAGCTGCTATAAACTTAGGCAAATATGGAAGATAATTCGTCTAGCGATGACGAGGTTAACGAATCTACTACAAGTCGAAAAATGAGTGGAAAAAAGTTAAAATTAAACGACGGGAGCTCTCAAAACAGCACTAAGGATGCAGGTATTATCATCATTCTTAACAACATTTTAGCATTTTAATTACGTAAATAACATTTCCCTCTTGCCCTTTTAGCTGCGGAGGGTAGTAATAAAGAAGAGGTGGTAGACAGTGGTATATCCCCTGATAAATCTGAAAGTACGAGTAGTGATGATCTTATGTCCGCTTCTGGACCTTCTAATGTCGTAGTTAACGTTGGTACATCTGACAATATGGTTCGGGTTATGATGCAAAATCTTCGTCACCCCGGTCGCGATAGAAATTACAGAAAACGAAAGACTCCAGACTCAGATGAGTCTTCCACGGACTCTGATGATTTCTCTAGTGAAATGGGTGTAGCCCAATACGATAATAATGCTGATGAAGATATGCAACATCTTTTAACCATTATTCACCAGGATTCATCAAGTTCGTGAGTATTATTTAATAACTTAAGTGACGGAAAGAACAAAATAATTCATGTAAGTTGTTACATGTGTAACTCTCACTATGTCTCAAATTAAACATATACTTTACTAATTTTTTATCACAACTCGCATCTCAACATCATCTCCCCTGCCTTATCCTACTCCCGTAGGGTCGGCGCTCCAGGTTTTCGTCCTCCAAATAACTCTATTATCCGTCATCTCAGTCACCTGTGTGAAGTAAAAAAATACAAAATACTTTCAGACTATGTTCTACATGTTTTACAAACTTAATTAAGATCTGTTGAGACATTCTAGAGATACCTTCTAACAAACATCCATACATCTAAACTTTCACATCTCTATTAGTAAGATTGACAATAACTTTGATTATACAAAAAAACACTCATGGTACAATAAAGTTGATGCATATTTAAGCTAAAATGTATTTGAGACATTGTTATTAATGACTAGCTGATGCTTGCGACTTCGTCCGTATCAAACTAATGATTAAATAAAAAAAAATCCATGTTACTCCCAGATCAATAACCTTTCTAACAGTGAAATTAGTAAAATCAGCCTGGTACTTTTTTAATTATTTCAATACATACAAAAATTGAACAAAACAATTCTTTCCTCCTTTATTAGTATGGATAAGACATATTAATTATTTTTCTATGTCCCTTATACAGAAGTTCTAACAACAGCAGTAGTACAAGTGGAAGCAGTAACAGTTCGTATAGCAACTACAGCTTTGAGAGTGATAATCTCAACTTCCAACCAATGGACTCGAGTGATGATGATGGCCTCTGGTCTCACAATACCGGCCTTAATGCTGTCCTCCAGAATGAAGAAATGTTAGCAAACAATGCAGATGGACTATTCGGTCCACTTCCTCAAGTGCTATTGAAGGATAAGCCTAAACATGATTATATGATTGTAAAGGGTGAGTATTGAAAATTTCAGATATTGAAAAAAAAAGTGTACATAAAGAGCTTTTTATAGTAGATTTTTTTTTTCTGCAGAAGTAGTAAACCGTGAGATGGGTCTGAATTTTCCCAGCGGTAAAACATCACAGAGCCCAATGAAGTTTGAACAGAAGTTCTACGGGTCACTTCATGCAGTTTACAGACTCGAGAAGCTGCATAGTCTCAATAAACATAATGGATGTGTTAATTCTATTAATTTCCACCCTGAGGGTAAGATATATTTATATGCATACTAACAAGTTTGTGGCATTAAAAAAATAGTACAAGTCAGCGAAATGTGTCAGTTATCAGAGCTTATAGCCAAGATTTCGTCCACACAGATTTATAAAAACTTGTCTGTCTCTCCCTCTGTTTCTTTTAATGAATTGTGGGCCCCGTTAAACATACAAACATAATAAGTAGCCTATAAATTGTTCCAAATATCATTCATCTGTACCAAATTCCATCCATTCATATTTTGACATTTAAGATTTAACTTCTATTTGGTACTTTCTCCGCAGGTCATCTTCTAGCATCGGGTTCTGATGACACAAATGTGATTGTTTGGGACTGGGCCCGCAACCGTGCTCTGCAGACCATCAAGACGGGGCACAGGTCTAATGTATTTCAGAGCAAGTTCCTCTATCTCAATGCTCGGAGTCAGCTGAATATTGTCACATGTGCCAGGGATGGACAGGTAAATAAATACCAAAGAGAGCCATACATACACATAATTATAGTAAACTCAAAAATTTTATCTTACTAATGTTATAAATGATAAAGTTTAGATGGATGGATGGTTGTTTGTTAGAGGTTGTAGCCTAAACTGCTGAATGGATCTCGATGAAATTTGGTACAGATGTAGAGGATAGTCTGGAAGAAAGGATACTTAGTTTTGTTTCATCTATATGTGTACACTCAATATATCAACAAAATCAAATTTTCTTTTGAATAATAAACAAAAAAGTACTCTTTGCTTGAATAATATAAAGCTGGAACATTTTGTAAAGATGTATCAATATTAAACAATTACTATGAATGCTTAGGTCAAGTTGTAAATCATAACCATATAGTTTAATTTCCCAATATTGGGGATTTCCAAAGGTGGGATTTTTTTGGTTGGTAACTCTTAAACTAGTAGGCACTGTCAATGTCAAAAAACTACCTTAAGCTCCTTGTCGGTTGTAAATGCTCGGTTAATACTTTGCCAAAACAG